ATACATTAGGTATGTTAACAAGAAGATTATATACATTAGGTATGTTAACAAGAAGATTATATACATTAGGTATGTTAACAAGAAGATTATATACATTAGGTATGTTAACAAGAAGATTATATACATTAGGTATGTTAACAAGAAGAAGGTTATATACATTAATATGTTAACAAGAAGATTATATACATTAATATGTTAACAAGAAGATTATATACATTAGGTATGTTAACAAGAAGATTATATACATTAGGTATGTTAACAAGAAGATTATATACATTAGGTATGTTAACAAGAGGAAGATTATATACATTAGGTATGTTAACAAGAAGATTATATACATTAAGTATGTTAACAAGAAGAAGGTTATATACATTAAGTATATTAACAAGAAGATTATATTCATTACGTATGTTAACAAGCGTGTTTATATAGTTTTAACTAGAAGTGATTCCGAAAATGAGTCATTAATCATTTGTGAGCCAAAACAAATTTTTGTAATGAAGCAATTGTATAATATAGTATATATCATATATAGTATATATATATATCATTAATAAATTAGAAATACACAGATACATAAGTCTGAAAAACAGTGAATGAGAGAGAGAGAGAGAATACTATTTTTTGGTGCATGGATCTGCTGTGAGGTTGGTTATTTTTCATTAAATTCTGAAAAATATACATACTATATGAAATGTCAGCTTTCTTTTATAGATTTTTAATACCCTTTTCTTTATTATCAGCCCATGTCATCACAAGAGCTATGGCAGTGTGTTCATCATACCTATGGTGAAGAACTTGGCCTCACTAGTGATGATGATGACTATGTGGCGCCGTTATCCCAAGATGATGAACATAAGAATGATGGCAGCATTGTGGCCGAGCAGCTAATTGACATGCCTAAAGAAAATGGTTATTTGTCTGAAAAATATGAAACGGCCTCAGTGACAGCACATGAACTGGAAGAAGCTCCAACGGAAGTACCAACAGTAAGTTAATTTTTTATTAAACCAAATATTGTATATTAATATGACATAAGTACAGATGTATTTGTGCAAGCGTCAGCTGAGAGAGTATCTATAGTTTTTATATGTGAGTAATATTTTTGAGTGTTGTAAGGTGTGGTGTTACATAAACACTTAACACTGCTCCATCTGTCTGCTTTTATTTTTTAATACTTACTTCATTTCTAGCTATATAAAATATTTCTTGGTATAGCTATATTAGTCTATATCTGTTTTAGTTCTCGGCTTCCATTCTTGCTTTGAAAACTTTTTTACAATTTGAAGCACTGTAATTACAATAACATAAGGAAGGTGGTTCTAAGAATAGTTTATAAACAAGACATTATAATAACATAAGGAAAGTGGTTCTAAGAATAGTTTATAGACAATACATTATAATAACATAAGGAAGGTGGTTCTAAGAATAGTTTATAGACAAGACAATGTAATAACATAAGGTGGTTCTAAGAATAGTTTATAAACAAGAAATTATAATAACATAAGGAAAGTGGTTCTAAGAATAGTTTATAGACAATACATTATAATAACATA